CTGACAAAAGGAAATTTCATTTCTTTTGACATTTATTTATTTATTTATTTATTTATTTTGAAAGGGAATTTGAACGAAATGTGAAAAAGTGAACGGCAAAAGTACAGCAAGATGTAACACTTGAAATGATGTCCAACATTCAAGATCTCGGTGTTGTTAACTGATCTAATCGTGTTTAAGACAAAGACACTCAAATGAGTCAAAAGCACATCAAATATTGCCCACCCATGCTAGGCAACGGCCGTGGTATTCAACTTATCGATATAAACAGAATCACACCAATAAATGGTGATTAAGGCTTAAATCAACTAAGCCATAATATAAGAGATCCCTGTCATGAAATTGGATAATTAGAAACGGAAAACAAAACATTAGGTTTAATTAAGAAACAATTATCCTCTTTTTCAATCTTCGTAAGAATAATTATAACTTAAAATTATACGATAAATCTGATGAAAAAAGACAGAAAAATGACGACTAATTGCCCTAAACGTTGTTAACATTTCGTTTCAATCGTCTCTTTCTCAGTTTTCCCCCATAAGTTATTTTAATTGGCAAGGCAATTTAATCTTTCACTTTCTTTGATGACACAACTTGACGGCGGTCGTCTAAGGCAGAAATGTTCGATTCAATTTGTGACAACAGCCAAATATAAGCGCCTGTCATGTCTTTAATCACACTCCTCTCTACTTATCTATATATATCATTAAACGTCTTACTTGACATCTACTCGCAAAACGCGTTTTTTCATTATTGAAACTGTCTATTGTATTATTTGTACGTCCCTGAGACAAAAACAGGAAGATTTAATATAGCGTTGACCGAACGTAATAACGGCTTATTTCGGACAGTTAGTCATCAGTCGCCAACGCTATATAGCAGCCAATATTAAAGTTTATTTGTGAAACACTCTACGTTCGATTTATTCTGACAGCCCTGTATTGATTTACGCTGTAGAAAAAGAATTAACGATGGGAGGAACTGCTCTACTGCAAATATTACTGGAAGAAAATAAAACTAAAAAGAGGAAAGAGTAGCAGGTCGATCCAGGTGAAGGGAGGAACATGGTCGTTTATCAACTATGATCCATACCTTATATGACATCTGATAGAAACCTCTTGCTTTCAATGACTTCGTAACACATTCTAGTATTAGGATTACCGAACATTAGTTGAGTGAAACTGTCTCTTTTATCATTTTCCTGTAAGCAATACAACAGAACTGTCATTACTATATCTGCGTTTCTCGTTAATGGTGAGAAAAACTGCATATGGAAAACCTCCCTGAAATTCGCTAACCTTGAAAGAAAATCCTTAGTAAACTAAATAATATATTAGCTACAAATAAATAGCAAAGAACGATTTGTATTTGTTTAAAAAGATATTTTTGACGAATCAAGGGGGATATTGATTTTATGACTTGTATTTATTGTTGATAATTAAATACGAAGTTAGAAGAAAACTGTGAAGGTGTTAAATATACAACACTAGCGGAAGAACACTAAAGCAAGGAGGCGAACAAAAGCAAATAAATCAAAAATATGACTAAACATTGGAAAAAAATACTTTCGTAAACGAAAACGTGAAAGAACATTTTGATTAATCAAACCACAGTGTACTCAGATGTGCAGTAGAACAGCTTATAGCCGTTGACAAAAACGACATTTAACCACTGGCTATCTTATTCTTGGAGTAAGTATTCAAAGTTTTTTTTCTCTAGAATTATTCATTTTTTCGACAGTGTTGAATACGCACAGTGATTATTTTTCATCAGTAATGGGTGCATACATACATGTTTTAAATGGTAGAATTGATTTGTTGTCGTGCACAGCTTTAAAAATGAATTTCCTTCTTCTTATACTATCAAGTTATTAACCATAGATTTTGTTTAATGTTTTTACTTTTCCTGGTGTTTTTTATCGTCTGTAGTAGCCGGCAGTTGGGACGGTTTTTCTTGTTTTCTTCTTCAGTAAGTTTACTCACTCTTAGAGCAGTAAAAAATGTTTCGTGTTTTACGTTTTTTAAACAATATTCGATATATATATATAAGGTTATATATATAAGGTAGATCTGAAGACACTAAGTATCTACGTTCCCACAATACGATAGTTCTTTCTATTGAGGCTAATATATTTTTGAATAACAATACCATTGAACACACACAAAATATTTTGTGCTGTTTTAATGAATACTGGACCGATGTTAAACGTCTTTGAAATTAGAAAGACAAAACTCATTTCGGTCAAAGATACACAGAATAACAAATAACTGAAATATATTTTTGGTATAGTAGACTTAATACTTTTCACTAGAGATAAATTGTATTTTCTAAAAGCTCGGTTTTGTTTGGATTACCTTTTTAATTTTGATCAAATAACAGCTTTAATACCGACATGGCTATATTTTTGAGATGTGTTTTTCATCTCCTGTCTCTGAGGCTGAATTAAAAGGCCACTGCTATGGTTTACATCAACATATTAAGATCCTATCTCTATACAACAAGCTTATATCACGCATTATTACTGTTTTTCTCAAAGCTAACACTTTCCCAATCCAAGCACCCATCAATCAAGGATATATATCTAACTCACGCTCTAGAATAGAGAAGCAAAGTGATTTACACTGGTAATCTTTCTTAAGAATGGTTTAAGGTCCAAGTACTATCTTTTCTCGCGCTAATGGCGCATTCTTAAGTGTCAATTTTTACTCAGCCTCAAGTCACGTGATAGATAAGGGTCACGTGATTGACGCTTTTTTTTTTWATACCAAATTGAGCATCAAAACAGAAAGAAAACTTGACTTCAGAAAACTCATCAGTTGGCAAAAACTTAACGTTAATATCGCCTCCAGGAAGTAGGCTTGGAAGAGAGTCAGTAATACTCCAACACACTTAAAGGTAAACGGGTGGGATGATAGTATCCTTTTATAACCCTTTACATCGAACAATGTTCAACAGCAAGGCCAAATCTTAAACCTTACAATATGTTTGAATCCTCAGTAACGATATTTACGCATAAATCATCCAACCTAATTCAGTATTGGTGAATATACGGCATCATTTGGTCATAAACTACCGGTCTCTTGTCCGCGGTACAGTAACATTAAGACGTTTTGAGAGTGCCATTCGAATCAAGAGACGACCATTGACTGGGACCTATTCAATTATAATCTCAAATATTCTTCTTTACACGATGATCAGTTTTGTTTTTAACTGGACGTTTTTTCAATTATATTTGACGCGGAGAAAATCCTAATCTAAAAGTTTAGTTTATTATCAAAAGTCGTGTTGACGGTCCGTGATGGTACCTAAGGAGATTAACACACTGTTTCAAACTGTTGAAACAGGCTTTACTTAAAACAAGCTAGCATACTAGTTCATATGCTCCTTCCTCCTTTGAATTAAT